GACTCAGACAATCAGTCTGTCCAGCAGTTGCCCCTAGTCTCTTACTTTCTTGGTAGGTAGATATATGAATCTCCAAGGCTAAGCCCCTCATCTGGTGCTGGTATGGACCTTCACACAAACACACACACACACATGCACACAGCTGACTAGAACTCCTCCTTGTCCCTCCAGTAGCAGGCTCTGATTACATCCTGAGGCACACACACACTCTTGCACACACACACAGACACATACACAGGGTTGTCTGACCCATGATGCCACTGCAGTCGCTGTCACTCAGACTCCCTTGCACACACCTAAAATGGAAGAAGATGGAAAAGAGTTAGAAATTGAATTTAATAGTAAGTGAAGAATGACTGTGCTGGTCAGGCACAGAGAAAGGCCAGACAATTATACTGGCCAGTCAGAGATTTGCATAGTACATAGGACAGGACTACTTAATTCCAAACTCCTGTACTTTCCTATGCTCTCTCCTCCCCAAACCACCCCAGATCCTGGGGCTGAGACCAGTAGCCCAGCTGAAGTGCATCTACACCAATGCATGCAGCGTGGCCAACAAACAGGAGGAGCTAGAAGCCATTGTGCTGCAGGAAAACTGTGTCTTAGTCAACATCACCAAAAAATGGTGGGAGCATCCTCGTGACTGGAGCGCTGCAGTGAAGGACTCTAAGCTCTTTAGAAGGGATAGACAAAGAAGGGGGGGGGGGGGGGGGTTGGGGGGGGGGGGTGGGGGGGGTGGGTAGGGAGGGTGGGGATTCTCTTTGTTAGGGAATGCTTTCATGTTGCAGATCTCATTGCTGGGAATTGATAAGGTCAACTCCTATGGGTAGAATCAGAGGGAAGGCCAACAAAGCTGACATCCTGGCAGAGGTCTGTTATAGACCACCTCACAAGGATGAAAACACAGATGAAGCATTCTTTGAGCAGCTGGCAGAAATCACTCATTTGCTAGCCCTTGTTCTCACGGAGGACTTCAACATGCCTGACATGTGCTGGAAGTAGCATACAGCAGAAAGGAAGAAATCTAGGAGGTTTCTGTAGTGTGTGGAAGACGACTTTTTGAAACAGCTGGTAAGAGAGCGTAGCATGGGAAGCAATGTGCTAGACCTGCTGTTTATAGAAAAGGACTAGGAGACATGGTGCTCAGAAGCTGCCTTGAGCATATTGGCTACGAAATGATAGAGTTCTCTATTCTTGGTGAAGACAGGAGTGGGGTCAGCAAAACTGCTTCCTTGGAATTCTGGAGGGTGGACTTTGAACTGTTTAGGACATTGGTTGGGAGAATTCCTTGGAAGTCAGTCCTGACAGTCAAAGGGGTCCGGAAAGGCTGGACGTTTCTCAAGAAGGAAATCTCCAAGGTGCAGGAGCAGGCTGCACCCCTGTATCATAAGATGAGCTGTGAGGGAAGACTGGCCTGGATGAACAGGGAGCTTTTGCTGAGATTTTTGGTATTATTATTTAATTCCTTTTACTAGTGATTTTTCTCTGCAGCAGAACTGTTTTACATAAATGAGACAAGAAAGTAACTTCTCACAAAGGAATTAATCCTGTTCAAATTGCCCAGTTTTCTAGGTGATCAGAGAAAGGGAAACATTACTCCCATTTTTAAGAAAGGGGGAAAGGATAACCCAGGAAACTACAGGTTGGTGAGCCTGATGTCTGTGCTTGGGAAGATCATGGAGCAGATCCTCCTAGAAGTTACATTAAGGCACATATGAGACAAAGAGGTGATCTGAGACAACCAGTATTGTTTTGCCAAGGGAAAATCATGCCTGGCCAATCTGTTGGCCTTCTATGATGGAGTGACAGCATCGGTGGACAGGGGAAGGGTGATGGATGTCATCTACTGGACTTCTGCAAAGCCTTTGACATGGTCCCTCACCACATCCTTCTCTCTAAATTGGAGAGGTATGGATTAGAAGGATGTACTTAGGTGGATTAAAAATTGGTTGGCTGCTTCCAGCCACAGGGTTGTGATCAACGGTTCTATGTCTAGACGGAGGCCGGTCACAAGTGGTATTCCCCAAGGGTTGGTCTTGGGACCAGTGCTCCTCAACATCATTATTAATGACATAGATGATGGAATTGAGTGCACCCTTAGCAAGTTTAAAGATGACACCAAGCTGAGAGGTGCAGTTGATACAGTAGGGGGAAGGGAAGAATCACACAGAATCACAGAATTGTAGGGGTTGGAAGGGACCTCCAGAGATCATCGAGTCCAACCCCCATCCAACCCCCTTCCCCATCCAGGGAAGGCATCCACAGGGACCAGGACAGGCCCATTTGAACCTAATGAGATTCAACAAGGTCAAAGTGCAAGTTGTTGCACTTGGGCTAGGGTAATCCCAGGTGTTTATACAGGCTGGGTGAAGAACCCCTTGAGAGCAGCCCTGTGGAGAAGGACTTGGAGTCCTGGTGGACAAGAAGCTGGATATGAGCCAGCAGTGTGCAATTGCAGCTGGGAAGGCCAACTATATCCTGGATTGCATTAAAAAAGGGGTGGCCAGCAGGGAGAGGGAGGTGATTGTCCTCCTCTACTCAGCTCTTGTGAGGCTCCATCTGCAGTACTGTGTCCAGGCCTGGAGCCCCCAGCACAAGAAAGACACAGAGCTCTTGGAACGAGTCCAGAGGAGGAGAACTGAGACGATCAGAAGGCTGGAGCACCTCTCCTATGAAGAAAAGTTAAGGGAAATGGGCTCGTTTAGCTTAGAGAAGAGAAGGCTCCAGGGAGACCTCATTGTGGCCTTTCAGTACTTGAAGGGAGCTCATAAACAGGAGAGAGAATGACAGTTTACATGGGTTGATAGTGATAGGACATGGGGGAATGGTTTTAAACAAAAACGTGCTAAAGGCTCGCTGAAGGTGAGCTTCTGGAACAATTTGTACCAAAGTCCCAGAGCTGATTTCCACTTCCTTCTCTTTCCTTCAGTCCTTTGTGCCTATTGCTTAGTGGCTATGGCCTATTTGAAATAATACGGGGAGTGTGAGGCATTTCAAAGCTGTAAACACAAACTTAGGCAAACTGCTCCTAGCTGTATTCTGTCCTGACTGCAGCCAATGCAGCTGCTTTCCTCACAGCATGTTTGCCTTGTGTGCACATTTGCCATGCAGCCTTATCACATTAGTGGCAAGCCATTCTGGGAAGATTTGTGCAATATTTTTTACTAGCAGCACAGTAGCAATAAACAGTAGCTCCAGCAATAACTTCGGCATTTTTGCTCGTGTCCTCGCTTGGTAATCATAAGTCTTCTGGGAAAGTTGTGTAGGTAAGAAGTTAGACAGGAGTAGTTTGTAGTATTACTTATGCTGACAGAAATAACACGTATGACCAAATCATTAGCATAAATGTATTATATAATGAGAAGTAAACATGATAGTCTGTCTTCAACAGTCCTACAGCCATTTTTACAACGTTACTATAACAATTTTCATTTCCTTCTCTATATTCCTTACTACTGAGATAATTGTAGGCCCACTCTACATTGACTAAGTCTTTTTTTCAGCACCCCTATATCTTTTCTTTGTCCCTAATTGCTTTAACATTATACTCAGCTTTCCCTTCCTTTTCATCACCTGTTTGGCTGAGGAAGAGGAAGGGAAACTCTTGCTTCCCATAGGCTGCAGTTACTCACATGTTGATCAGCCACTTTGCTTTTTTTGTTTTGTTTTCTTTCTTTTTTAAAGAGAAGTATAAATGCAGTCTACTACTACTATAGATAATTTAGTTTTCTATGTTCAGGCTGTATTAGCAAGAATGTAGTTATCACAGGATGGAAATTGGCACTTCTCATTTACTCAGCAATTGTGAAATCAGAGATGAAGTCCTATGTCCAGGATTTGCTCCCTGGTACAAGAAAAGCAACGGCAGATAGGCAGAGGAAGGTCAACAGAATAGCTGGTGGCTGGAACAAAGACAACATCTGAGACAGTTTGGTTTAACTCAGCCTAAATTAAAAAAGGCTAAGAGGAAGTATAGTTGCAGTCTTCCACCATGTAAAGTTGGTTTATAGAAAAGACAGATTCTTCTCCAGGGTGCGCACTGAAAGGACAAGAAGCAATGGACATAAGATGTAGTAAAATAAATTCTGATTTAAGGCAAGAAAAATTTTTCAAACGATGGATGGTGAAGCATGGAAGCAGATGCCCAGAGCTTATTGGACTCTTCATCCTTGAGATATTCAAAACCTGATTGGACCTGCTTTGAAGACAGCCATACTTTAAATGAAATATTGAACCAAACAATGTCAACAGGTTCTTTTCAGTTTAAATTAATTAATGATTTCATAACTTCATTATTCTTTCTCAGTCATATTTACTTTAACTTCACCAAAAGACTTAAAAGTTATTTAATAGAAACTGCAAAGCTGGAGGGAAAAGGTGACTGACAAACACATGAGCGAACAAACAAAATAAATTTGTAGGAGTCCGTTTCCTACAGGTATACTTGTCCTACCACAAAATGGTAGACAACTAGCAAACACCATTCCTTGCTGAATGATACTGTGTTCAGTAACAAAACCAGATTAGGTTTAGGAGTTTTCTTCTGGACCATACTGAATGCAGATACAGTCTAATTCTGTATTATTACTACCCAGATCCCAGTGCAGGCATACAATCACACTGTTACAGTTACTCCGGTGAGATATTTCTAGGTAAGATCTTCACAATACAAGGAAATACTTTAGCAATATTAAGAATTAACATGCTGAAGCATTAAGCAAACTTCAGACAATGACATGATAATCAGAGAGGTAAGCATCAGTAAAACAAATGGACAGGAACCGGTTTGACTAGCTCTGAAATCTATCTGAAGTATGAGAGTTCACCTAAGCTGTTTGAGAGTGTGAGAATAGGCGGGAGAGAGGAAGATGAACGTATGCAAATTTTATGTATTATCTTTTGTTAGAACGTGACGGAAGCTGTGGAGGAGGAACGTCATTTCAGGACAGTTTAAAAGCCAGAGGAAAGTCTGTCCATTTGATATAAAACTGTCTTCTTCAAGGACAGAGATGTGGTCAAGGATTCTTCTGAGTGTTGTCACCTTGAGCTGGATTGTCGCAGTGTCTTCTGAACTGTAAGAGAATATACCTTGTGCTTTTATGACATAATAGATAAGTTTGTTTCACTTCAGTTAATTTATTCTGGGACATTGCTCTATAATGTGCTGATTTTGAAATGCGTTTGAAATGAAAATATCTAATACTGAAGCGTGATTTGAAATGATGATCTCCATTACAAAGCTTCTGCAAAATCTGAGTGACAGAAACCTGGAACTGGAGTAGATTAAGTCTGAAGTGCATGGGTAAGACTGGGAGGAGATTCAAGGCTAGGTTAGCAAGTGATGATCAGGTTTGGAATGCACTGGAAAGACATAGAGAGCATGGCATATGAGGAGGTCCTCGAGACAAATAATGGCTAGTAGCAGGGAGCTATGCTGAACTGTAAATCTGTTACTGTTATTCTTAATGTTATTGTTACACCTGCTGTGCTGTGGATGCTTATAAAGCACTGTCAGTGTGGATGGCTTTATGAAAACTGAAAATTTCAGTCGCAGTTTTCAAAAATACACCAACTTGAAAGCTTAAGTCCCCTTCTTAAAAGTGCTGAAAGGAAGCACTGTGAAAGTCAGATGCTTCTGCTTTCTCTGATACACTCTTGGTTTCATTAAACTTACTTTTGGTGTTTGCATATCATACAGTCTAACTTAGGCAAGTGAAAATAACAGTAAGTATAATATTAATAAGCAAAGCTAGGAAGGGAAAAAGGGAAGGGATCATATGACCCAGAAAATTTTGTGTGATTCATGCACACCAAACTCATCAATTCTGTTATACATTATTTGGAAAGACTAGTTTGGACATCAGAGAATAGTAAGCCAGCAACAGAAACTTAGTCAAATATAGCAAATATCTAGAAATGTTTTTTTCAGAGGAAGAGTTTGGAGAACAAAGGCTGCACTAATTATAGAGGGCATCATATCTAAAAATATCTAATGGAAGAAAAAAGCAAAGAGAAAAACAGAAAAGCAATAGAGCGTGCAGGTTAGATTGAATATGGAAAATTTCCTGGAATATCCTGTATTCTGCATTATGCTGACTGCCTTATGATATTTTCGTTCTTATCTGGAGGGAGAGTTATCCAGAGAAAAAGAACTTTAAAAATTGCTGCAACAATTAACTAGTATTTTTGCCAATGATTTAAAAAAAATTGTCATTCTTTTTTATGGGAGGTTCCAGAGGGTTAAGTATACACACAGGTTGTCAGAAGATAAGTGCATTTATGCCTTTTAAGTGATTAGACATCATTTTAACTGGAAATGTCTAGATACCTGGAATGAAAAGATGCAATATCATGCTGGATAAGAGACTGCATAAAATGATGCCAGTCCTTCAGCTTACAAAGAGCAATAAGGAACAGAAATGTGTCATCATTTGTACTTGGAATATTATCCAAAATTAATTGAAATAAATGGAAATCCTCCCAGTGGTTTGAGCGAGTCTTGGCCTAAGTCCCACATCTTCTTTCACATGTATAATATTTCTATGATATTTTCCTCTCTTGTCTGCTCTCACCTTCCTCCGTGACTGATCTGTTCTCATCTTCTTGCAGTCAATACGTGCTGCTGGTGCCAACCGTGGTGCGGAGCAACTCTCCACAGACTGCTTGTGTACAGTTTCAGAGTCTCAGTGAGCCTCTGTCTTTGAGTGTTGCTCTGGAATACAGCAATATACAGACAACTCTCTTTGAGGATTTTGTGACAAAAAATGATTATTTCACGTGCTGTGACTTCAAGGTATTTTCTTTTTTTTTTTGAGAACACTGCAGAGGATGTAGAGGCTGGAAATATTTCTGAGTGCCACTGTCTTTGTCAATGATGGAAAGAATGTAAAGAGCAGTCCTGGAATATGACATAAAAAAGATAACTTAATGAAAAAGCTGCCAATAGAGAGAGGAAAAAGAAAGCCATGTGGTCTATATGAGGGTGCTGGAAAATGGCTTTCCATCTTCATTCACAAATAGAAAAATTCTTTTGATTGCTGTCCCAGGTGCATGCCTTTTCTGTGACTCTGCAAAATCAGAACAGGTATGACAAAAAAATAGCCAAGACTAAGTCTTCTAGAATAGGGCTGGGAATCTTCCCTGTAGGCAGGTAGCTACAGGAGATGATGAAATGCTTAGGACAGAACATAGTTTAAAATCTTGTTGCCTGATGACAGATTAAAGGATTTCCAGAGCATAGATTCCCAAATGCTCTGTCACTGGCACATGTGAGTTTTCCCATGACTTTGCAGAAGCTGTTAATGATTCATTTGACAGTCAACTAAAGAACCTGGAGCAGCAGGGTACCTCAGCATGCCTCATTTACCACTTTTTTTCTGGGGTTTTGTTTCTCTCCAGGTTCCTCCTGCTACTTCTGATCCCCTGGCATTCATATCCTTCTCTGCCGAAGGCAACACAGTCAACATAACTGAGAGAAGATCAGTGGCGATTGAGAATGTGCATAACACTCTCTTCATCCAGACAGACAAGCCCATCTACAAACCAGGGCAAAAAGGTTGCTGGGGAGCTGGAGTCAGCTAGTGAACTAGGAAACTGAGTGCAAGAGTGGGTCAAGAATAACAAACACTTCTCTTGTGGAGGAAAATTCTGCAGACTGCAATAGCAGTGTTTAGCATATTGTGCATAATTGTCATTAGATAGTGTATGTTGTCTGACAATGACCTTATCAAAAGTCTATGAAAAATAGAATCAATTCATCAAACTGCCAGAAATGAGTAGAGTTCATTTGTCTTTTCTAGGTTAATTTTGTTTACAGAATCTTGAGTTCTGTTGGGTTTACTGAGGTCAGTCATGTAAAGAATATCCTTAAAAATACAGAAAATAGGTTAAGCTTGGAATTAATAAAAATAGATACAGCATATAGTTTCCTGTCAACAGCTCTCTACACTTCACTGCTAATCTAATTCATAAAGCTGATTTTACTACGATATTTAAATAATAACTATCTGTGGTTTGGTTAGTTATATCTTTAGTATAATCATGTTTCAGTGCTTCACAAGGTTTACAGTGAGATAAAGACACTTTCTTCCCCGTCTTTCATTTTTTCATTGAATTGGTTTGTAAAGATAGTTTCTGAGGAAATGCTCCAAAGTACTGAGTCCTTAAAAATGTTGGTCAGTATTAAAGACAATTCAGATAATAAGTTTATTTCCTTT